AATGTCAGCTGGTGGGGCCCAGGAGGAGAGCCTTCTCTGCTGTTGCCCCCACCCTTTGGAACATTATCCCCACAGAGGTGTGGCAGGCTGCTACCCTCCCTGCTTTCCAGAAAGGATTAAAGACCTGGCTCTGCCAGCTTGCATGGGGTGACAAGAATCTCACCCAATCCTGAGGGTGGCTGGTGCCTTGATGACGCCCCCCAAGCTACTACCAATTAAAAATCTATTCTTGGATTATGTTTATTTTCTATTTATTCAGGATCATTTTATACTGTATTTTTAATTGATTTTAGCTGCTTTGTAAACCACCCAGAATCATTTTTTAACTAGATGGGCAGTGACAAATTTGATATACAAATTAAATAAAGTATAAAGAATTTTTTAAAAATAAAAGTAGTTATGGAATGGGAAAATGCCAGTATGAACTAAGAAATTATTTTTCCATTTGAAAATATCCCTACCCTTGCTCTTCTAATCACCAGAAAGACAAGATATTTTTGAATGTACCTGCCGATTACCCCAGTAGATGGAAGAACAGTAATGAGCAGACGAATGGCCGAATGGGAAAGGGTTATGTATCCCCACCACTACTAATACTGTTGGGAAACAGTTCCATATTTCTTATGTAACTTCTTGGGCCTTTTTATTTTTTGTTTTTATAATATTTTTAATAAAGTTTTACATGGATAAAAGCTAATATAGAACTAAAAAGATATACAAACAAAAAAGAGAGAGAGAGAAAGAGAGAAAAGAGAAAGACATATAAAAGGTGACTCCCCCCCCTTACTCCAAACAAGTATAAACATTTGCATTAACTTGACACCTTCTCTAGTATTACAGAAAAAAACCTCTTCTTCCCATTTGTAGTCCCTTAATAATAGCCAAATTATACAAAAAAATAATCAATTAATCTTACACAGCAAAAGCATTAAGAGTACCAGTAATAATAACCTATATATTTTAACCTTAAACAAATAAATCCATTAATAACTTTCTCTAATAAGTAAAACATAAAAAATTATCCCCCAGGCATAATAGTAACATATATATCTTAAACTAAATCAAATAGGTCCCTTTTACAGTCAAACCTGTAACTTTCCCTAACAAATAGGACATAGAAAGTTTATCCCCAAATGAAAAAATCTTTAAATCCTCGTCGTACAGTCCTGATCATAAGAAAAGTTTCCAACAGTAACAATCCAGAATCACAACTTTTACAATTTAACTAAGTCCACTTTGAATTCCTTTTTCTTCTTTTTAAAAGGCTTGATCTTCAGTCGCGTCTTTAAATAAAGTTCCACATGATAATCTCTTATCATTTTCTCCCTGTGTTTTCATACTTTCTAGTTGGGCCTTTTTGTAATAATTGATTTGGAAGGCTGAGGCGTAAGAAAGTTCCTATAAGTGAAAGATGGTATGAGCTTTGTGTGAGAGAGACAAAATGAATGAATGAAGAAGGGAAAAATGTGGGGAAGGTGGTGACTTAAAGAGAGAAAGGAGAAGTGATAGCTACAATCAAGTTTTGTGAGGAAGTTGGCTCCAAGACTGTTTCAAATTATATCTACTTTTCTATTAGGTATCAACTTTTTGTAATAAACTTTTGCCCACCTTTTCTTACATGAAATTTCAAAGCGTAAGCCATTTGCGTCACTAGGGACCTCAAGCATCTTATATCATCATTCAGTTCATGTTTATGCTCCTGTATCAGTAATGAACACAGGAACAGTATTGGGCGATACTATAAAATGCTAGTGAGGAAATGGCTTTTGTCCATAGCATAATCAGTGCACTGTTCCTGTGGTTGCAGCATGTTGGATGACTTCTCTCATGAGCTGGACAGCACTCAGTCACGACTAGATAATGTTATGAAGAAACTTGCAAAAGTGTCTCATATGACTAGTGGTAAGTAGCCTGACATCTAACAAAAAAGTGTAACCAAATATCAATTTTTTTCCTCATGAATAGCAAGATAGTCTTCAGCGGCTGCAACCTCCACATTCTTTGTGGGTATCAATCCCAAACTACTTTTCTCAGACCTGCTAAGCTTATGCTGTTTGGGAAAATAAAAGTACAACCTTAAAGTCAGAAGATAGAAAATCAAAATAGAAAAATAGAGATTTAGATTGGCACCTGACACTTTCACAAAGCATGGAAGACCCGAATATGCTTCAGAGCACAGGGGTCAAAAGTTTAGGTGGCCCAAGCCTTGTCCTGCTAATCGCTTTCGATTTATTCTTGGTATCCATTATAAGTTTTTATGTTTTGTTGATCATCTTTTTTATTGCTTTTAATGTGTTGGCAGCTACCCAGTTGCATCTGTGAGATGGGTGGCCATACAAATTGAGGTAATAAACAAACAACAAATAATAGAAATACTGGCCAAAAAGTAATATGCTGCCATTTTAGTTCATGCAAAATTATTTGTGTCCAGAAAAAGATGCAACACGCTCTTATCCTCAATCTAAAGATTTTCAGGCATGATGAACAGTTGATAGCCAGGAACGAGTCTGGAATGAAAGGATTTGTGGTGAATATGCATAAAGATGCTCCCTGTGATCAAAAAATGTCTCCTATCACACAACTATGGATCTCACTCTTGGTGGTTTAATTGTTCATTTCTGCTGCTCTAAAGTGGAGGCATGCCAGGATACACATGCCTAAAAATAGTGAGTGGGACCAGGATAGAATTTACTGTCTGCTGTCCAGTTGCACATTTAATATTTTCCCTTTTTTTAACACTGCCATTAGAATTTATTTAACAATTTACAGGGATCTCTGGAGACCACATCCAAGGCTGTTGGGCTAAATGTGACCTAGGTTATGTGTGCTTCAGAACTTCTCATACCTTTCTAACATTAAGCCAATTCTCTTTAGAAAATTTTTGATAGCTGCTTGTTGTTCAAATTGTGTGCTCAAACAATAGCTTACGTACTCTTAGATCAGCCCTAGAAACAAGATACTTTTCTAATTGCATCAATAAGCATAATATGAACCTAATAATCTTTACATTTTCATTTCTGCAAAGTTTCAAGATTCTCTAACAGTTTTTCTGTTCAGGGATACTGTAAGCAACATCCTGGGAAGTATAGAACTAACTTCTCTTTCTCTTTATTTTCTTACTGACAGATCGAAGACAGTGGTGTGCAATTATCATCCTCCTTGTTATCCTTCTGGTGGTGCTTATTCTATTTTTTGTGCTGTGATAGTTTGGGGCTCAGATTCTTTTCCCAACTCCTTTTGTGCAGACATTTCAGGACACTGTTGCTGTCCACCAGAGAGAATTCTCATTGTGGAAAATACCTTATGAGAGTTTGATACTGTGCTCTGCCCTGGATGGATATCAGTGACATAACTCTCTGTCCTTATGGTTCTTCTTCTCATGATCCTCATCATATTGCTCAAGGAAGAAATGGACCATTCACATATACCCAAATTCCACTAACACTGGAAGTGGTTCCCCTGGATTGAGACATTGGACTCTTTTCCAATGCTCTACTGTGGGACAGGTGGTTTAGGATGGAAGAAACTGTGTGTGATCTCATTTCCATCCTGTTGCAGGTATGAGCCACCAGATGCCTTTTGTCTGCTTATCATAACAGGTCTCTTGGCAATGTTAAACCAGCATACACATATGTATGCACTCACACACAAGCAGATCTTGCAGAAACTATTCCATTGCCTACAAGATTCCTTTCACAGGCCTTTTGCACAGCCATGCCTGCCAAATAATCATGGATCTTTACAGGAGAAAAAAGGCCAGTTAGAGCAGCCACTGAATTCACACTGTGAATATTTGTTTTCTCCAGAATAGGATTGTGCACTTGAAAATGTCAAAGGTACATAGTTCAGTGCCCATTGTTGTAATGCTAAATAATGTTAAATAGAACAATAGAAAGTTACACACGGAGAATGGGAGGAAAACGGCAGGCCTGTATGTGCTGAAACAAAACTAAAATCAGTCTCAGTACCCTTGAAACCAGGGGAAATGGCAAATAGAGTTGTAACAAGTCTGGGCATTGGACTGGAATTCAGTTTTGCTTCAGAGAGGCAGACTGGCCCTAGCAGGCTAGTACAAGACATAAGCAAAATCTGTACAAGTCTGTGTTGTCGTACATCAGACAGCTGTAGTGACTCCACTTTTCAGAGCTGTAATCTCATTTTTTACTGCAGTGTAGAAGAGAAACTCAGTAGGCGTACTGTAGTTGCTAAAATCATGCGCTTTTTTGGGGGGGGGGAGTGAAATATTTGTGGCTTTGAATATCAGTTCTGAAAAAAGAAGCTTCAATTTGGGTCCTGCTAATTTAAGAAACACTTCTGTCTGGGTAGCTGTCAAGATTTAACCTTTAAGTGCAGGAGTGGGAGAAATGGTTTCTGCTCAATTGAGGGCCTCTTCCTTCTGTCTTGTGTATATATCATGGGGAGAATATATACTCCCCTGGATGCACAAGCACACAAGGAAACAAAGTTGCACAGCTCCTTTCGTGTTTTCAAAACTTAAATGTACGTAGCAAAATGCTCTCCAAAAGAATATGGAAGCATTCCAGTCCTTTGATGATAGAATAATTTTGCCATTATTTTGCCATTTTGATAATTGGGTGGAATTATCGTAGACTAATAAACAGATAGGATCATGGTTGCTCCTGGATCCTATCTCTGGACACTTCCCTACTAAGGCCTATTAACAGGCAGAGGAAACTCCATTTCCCTCGGTTCTGTCATAAGGTGGTTTATTTGAACTTACAAGATCATCACTTCCTTTCAAAAATGAATCTGGTATGAACTTTTGGAAAGTTCTGTCTAGACATCATGGTGACAAAAAAGGAATATTTTGGAAGGTAATGTGTGTTCCTTCACTAATTTCCAAGTGTGGTCAACCAGCCCTGTGCTCTTTGTAGTTCCCTCTTGCTTATTTTGCTAGGAGTGGAGATCCTGGATTCCTGCCAAAGTCCTTTTAGGCATTAATATGTCTCAATTGGACTCCATTTCCTTTAAGAAACCCACATGCTAAAAGTTGTCAATGCCCAGTACAATGATTGGTGTGAAAAGCTCCGTTTCATTTGCATCCAGTGAAATCTACACCAATGAGATTCATATATTCTATCCCCATTATTACTTCTGTAAGATCTTAATTATCTGAAGATTTTTATCTGAGCATGTGGAACCTGTGGGTTCTTTTTTTCTGCTCTGATGTTTATGTCAGGCTAATTAGAGGCATTTAGTTTGTATGAAGTTTTACTGATTACATTTCTAACATTATTTCAGTACAGCAATCCTCAGGTTAAGAACATCCAACTTAAGGACAACTCGTACTTACAAACGGGCTGCCTGTTACTAAAAATCGTGGATGGCATTCTCCTTCCTCAAGCTGACGAACCACTGAAGCTGCGCATTTTTAATATACAGCCTGTTTTCAGCAGTTCATGAAACATTGTGCTGCTTCAGCAGTTCATCAACTTGAGGAAGGAGAATACTGTCAGCCATTTTTAGTAATAGGCATCCCATTCATAAGTACAAGTTCTGACTTACGTAAAAATTTGAGTTAAAGGCAAGTTGCCTATGCTGCAATTGCTAAACTGACTTTGGGTGGAGATATGTGGGTTGAAAACATGCTTCTTCCAGCATTGAGTAGGAGAGGCTTCCAATCTCCCTATGTATTCCCAATATGAAAGTGCTGATTTCTTCATAACGTGGTTGTTGGTCTGCTTGAACAGCTAGAGGCATTGTAGGTCCAGTTTTCCATCTCTTTTTTATACCTGCTGGTTTAGAAGCATGTAAAAGAGCCCAACAACTGTGTTTTCTTTTTAGATACAGATATCTCTCCCCCATTCCTCAGGCCACCCTTTGATCCTAGAATAAGGATTCCAGATTCTTTTCAGGTTTAATTAGTTTCCATATTCTGATGAAATAATCAGAAGTTGATTGAGACAAATCTCAGTAGAGTCATAGCTGCTGCCTCACCTTCTTTGCTCCCAGAAAAGTGATCAATAAGAACAACAGAGTAGTACTCCTGAGCAAAGAGTTTAGATAGGTAGGGGCTAGCCAAAGGAGTCAGTGTTTCCTCTGAAATAGGTAAAAAGAATAAGATATCTTGAAAGCCAAGTGAAACACTTTGGTGCAAATTTCTCTATAAAAAAAGAAATGGAAAGAGTATGATTCCATGATACTGGTCAATGCTATGTGTGCTTCAGAAGCTTTTGCAATGTGTAGGAAGAGTGTACTGTAGCTGGACACAAAAATCCGGACAATCATGTGGTGGCAACAAATAGAAAACTCAGTCTTCATTGCCAGCTAGTGGTCATATGGATTCTTGCAGGACCGGAATAGCACAGCTATTGTCAGGCTTCCCTAGCAGGTTTCCCTGAAGATAGGAAGTCTGTAATTTTATTTATTTGCCATAATTTCCCCTTCACTTGCATAATTTTAATTCCTCACTCCAACTGCATATGTCTTGCAGTAAATCTGTCTGGAAAACAATGCTTTCAGACATGATCTCTTGAATGTTCTCCGGGCATTGGGTTTAAAATCCAAGAGTACTTTCTTAACTATTACTTAAAGATGTATGTTACAGACTCACCTTTAGACAGTAGTAAGAATTGAACCTAATTCAAAACTCTTTTAACATTCTGCAGCATGTATCATCAGAATATTTTAATGTTTTTTTTTTAAAAATAACTTTTTTGTAATGCTTAAGCTCTTAATATTTTCAAGGGAGTGCTGACACTCCACCTTTCTGCAGTGCTGTGCTTGTGTGAATTATGTGGCTTTTGCCTTGAAATCATGGTTGTACTTAATCTCTCTTCTGACCCACCCCCTTACACTTCTCTAAAGAGGGAAAGTATTGAGCTAACAAAAGTCTCTGTAGCTCTGAATGTCCTCCTTTGAATGACTACCTTTTCAGTACTGCTATAACAAAGGGAATCTTTGTATATCTGGGCAATTCTGGTGCGGCTGCTATTCAGAACAAGCCGGGTTTTTGTTGTGAACTGAATTCCACGAAACAACTATTTTGAGATATGAGGCTGGAAGTGCTGCTTGGGAAACAAAAGAAGTATCTCCATCCCATGCCACTTCTACGGGAGGACAAAGCTTCGTTGCTCCAGGTGCTTCCACGGCTGAGGATGCAAACTGATCCAGTCTAAAAGATGACAGCATACATGGATCCACTCCTAAGAAAATGATTGTTTTAATTTTCTATGTTTGGAGTTGAACAATGGATTCGACAGGAAAAAAAGACATGTTTTAGAAAGATACACTCATTTCCAGATTGTGTGCCAGGTCATTTAAATATAACTTGCAATAAGCACTACTAAACTGGGAGAATGACATTATTCCAGGCTTTGAGTGTGCATGCCTCTTCCCTATCAACTCCCTAATGACAGATTTTGCAGGATTTTTACTCTGGGTGTGATTATATCATTCAGCCCCTCTCACTGCAGAGATGTGCCAAATTCCTTTATTTGCAAAGGTGGCTGCCACCTTCATACCTGCTTAAGGATCTGCTGTGGAAATGCCTTTTTCTATTTATTAAAAAGGCATATGAGTGGCCTCTAATTCAGACAAGGTGTCTCTGCTTTAAATATGTGAATCCCTAGAGTCATGTCATGAAATAGAACTTGGGGACAATCAGGTACATCCCAGCAGTTCAATAAAGTATATTTATACAGGTTTCTCAGAAATGTTCAGGCACGGTTGGTGTATTACATGCATTAAGCAGTCACTGGATGGACAGTTGCTTGCTTATAGTCCCCCCCCCCATGCTCTCATTCATTCAGAACATTGTACCATTGTTGCATTACTTTATATGTGTCAAAGGACTCTACCAGGAGTAGTAGACAGTAGCTGCTCATTCTTCTGTGTGAGGCCTTTATGTTATCTTCTTAATTATAGCAGAAAAAGCTTGTTCCCAGTACAGTAATGCTGAATTGTGACTCTGAGCCTTTTGCAAGGTGAGGGGTCCACAGCGCTGCTTAAGCCAATTTACTACTTTCTCTTCTACTTGGCTTAAATTGGTAATTACTGTTGCCTGTTTGTTACTGCCTTTGAAGATCTCAGAAAAGGAGAGTAGAGCTACCTTTTCATTCAGTTGGATTCAAGGAAAATTGACCAGATGCCAGGAACAGCTTATAGAGGTGGAGGGGCTGTCTTTTCTCTCAATTGCTGTTCTAGATGTCTCCCCACCTAGCTGGACAGAAAATGTAAGTAGAATGGGAAAAGGTGTTGTGAAATTTTCAGGGATTGCTGACAAGTGTGACTCCTTCAGCTTGCCATATAGGAAGTAGAAAAGCTACACCTGACAAAGTGGCCTTAAGAGCTGGTGTGACATAGCAGGTAAGAATTTGAAATGCAAGTTTGGGAAGACTCCAGTTTGGATCACTCTTCAGTTATAAGGATTGCAAGCTGATCTTAAAAGTGAAAGTGAAGATTGACCCCCAGTGACTTCCTGGACATATTTTGGGCAACAATGTAGATGTGTTTTGCCATTGTCTTCTTCCAGGATGTTTTTCAAGTACTCAGATTGTCTTGCAACCTGGAATTTCTTGATGGTCTCCCATTCAAGTACCTACAAGCTTCACTTTGGGGGATGGTCAAGTTTTGCTAGGTGTTACCACTTGTATAAAATTAGGAGGCTGCAAGGGAAAAAAGCTGCTTCCTTGTTTCACATACAAACATCTCCCTGACACAGAACATGAGTTCAGTGGGACTTCAAAGGTTATCTAGATTAACCTCATGCTCAGAGCAGGATATACTAAAACATTTTGGACAGGTGGCTGTCCAGGCTCTGAACACCTCCAGTGACTGGCATAATACCAGTTCATTAGGCAATCTATTCTACTTGTTGACAGCTCTTAGTGTCAGGAAATTCCTCTTAATGTCTAATCTGAATATTTCTCTGTTTCAACACATTAGGTCTTACCCTCCCCTCTGGAAAGAGAATAAGTCCGCCTCCTCTATATGATAACCTTTTATATATCTGAAGACTGCTATCATATCTCTTCTGCAGCTCCTCTAACCATTCTTTGGGACTTGATTTCAGTCCCTTCACCATCTTCATGGTCTTTCTCTAAACTTGCTCCAATTTGTCAATGTCCTTTTGCACTTCAGTACTCAGACCTGGATGTAGTACAGTATTCCAAGTTGAGCCTGGTCAAAGTAGAGAAGAATGGGTCATGCAACCTGAACGCTGTGCTCCTGTTAATCCATCTCAAAATAAATTTGCCTTGTATTTAGCAGCTGCATCATGTTGTTGACTTAGTTTCAACTTGTGATCTAATAGAACTTCCTACTCCTTTCCACGTGTACAACAACCAAGCCAGGACTCTCCATTTCTATACGTGCCTTTTTTTTTCTTCCCAGAAGCAAAGTGAATAGGTAGGTAGCAAAAGAAAGAAGGAAAAAAATGACTTTATATTTCCCTTTATCCTGTGCATCTTGGTCCACTGTTCAAGCCTGTCTAGATTTTTTTTTTTTTTT